GTTAAGACTAGGGTTCTGATGCATGGTCATTATAGGTTTCATAGCTTGTTTTTGTTGTTAAGGAATCCAATTTTGACTGACAAAGAGGCGCGCCTTTGGAGGGTGTTTCACTGACTTACTGACTTAAATGATCTATATTTCTTGAATTTGTGTGGTTTACATGTATAACTTATCAAGTGACACAGATGCGTCTTTTCAACTTTAGTTCCTGTGAAATTTCAATTATTATTAATTACAGTTCCTAGTCCTATCAGGCCTGTTTTAGAGAATGACCACCTTAGTGGGATTGATTTGTTTGAAAATTTGAAAAAGGAGACTACTTATAACTACTATTTACAACTACAACTAACCTACAACTACTATGTACACCTAACCAACTATATACAAATTGCTTATCAAAGCATGTTCTGATAAATTACATTTTTGTGCAAATTTAGTCTTAATTTCGTTAATTTTGGAATCTATTTTGGCAATGCCTGCCTCTTCATGTAAATTTGTTATTCTAGTGTCGAAAGGACGATCAAGAACCATCCTCAGCACTCTATTCTGAGCAACCTGGATTTTGTTCCTGTGAGTCTGTGCACATGATTCCCACACCGGAGCTGCGTAGAGGATCGCAGGTGCTATGATTTGTTTGTAGACGGCCAGTTTGTTCACCCTTGAGAGGCGGGATCTGCGGCAAATCAGCGGAAACAGACACCTAACCAAGGTAGAACACTTGACTACAGTTTTCTCTACATGCGAACGGAAGAGGAGCTTTTCATCGAACAACATCCCGAGATAGGTAACTTCGGTAGACCACTCAACCCTTGTGCCATCCATGATTACAGTACAAGATGGAGCCGGTTTCAGTTTGGGCGATTGCCGATGGAGGAACATGATCGCTTGTGTTTTGGTGGCATTGATTTTGATTTTCCACGTGGTGGCATAATCAGCAAAGGCGTTAAGGCATCGTTGAAGTTTGTTCGTTATTTCGCGAGGCATCCTTCCTTTGACGGCTATTGCGGTATCATCTGCGAACAGGAAAAACACGCAACCGTCACCGAGGGGAGGAATGTCGGAAGTGTAAATGCTGTAAAGCAAGGGGCCCAGCAGACTACCTTGCGGGACTCCTGCTGGGATCGAAAACGTGTCTGAGAGACAACCATTCAACGATACCTTAAACGACCTTTGCTGGAGGTAGTTACGGGTGATTTTAATAAGATGTAAAGGAAAGTTGAAGTTACAAAGCTTGTACACAAGTCCATCATGCCAAACATTGTCAAACGCCTTTTCAACGTCTAACAAGGCCATGGCTGTGGACTTGGATACAGCTTTGTTACTTCGGATGTTATTCATCACCCGTACTAGCTGATGATTGGTGGAGTGCCCCTTTCTGAATCCAAACTGTTCCGGAAGGAGAATGTTGCTTTCCTCGACAAACTTGAGCAAACGATTGAGAATGAGTTTCTCGAACAATTTGCTCAGCGCTGAAAGGAGGCTGATAGGTCTGTAGCTTGAAGACAATGTTGGATCCTTACTGGGTTTGCGGATCGGTATGATTTTTGCTACTTTCCAGATGCTTGGAAAGTAGTGCAGTTCCAAACATCTGTTGAAGATAGCGGTTAGAAGAGACTGCACTTTCATGCTGAGTCTCTTCAAGATCAAGTTGAATATACCGTCAAACCCGGGAGCCTTCATGTTCTTGGTGCATTTCAGCGCTGAGCAAATTTGTTGTACTGTAATCATATCCGCCGGAGGCACGACACAAGGGGAGGTATCTAGGTTTTGAACGCATTGCGCAACCTGATCATCGAGCGGACTTTGGATAGTCGAGCCAAGCAAATGCGATGAAGCGACATGCTTGCCGATCGCATTTGCTTTCTCCTGTGGGGTAATTAAAAGCCGATCGTCATCATTTTCGACTTTGAGAGGTGGAACGGGTTTGGGATGATTTTTCAGGACCTTGGCTACCTTCCAGAATGGTCTGGAGCGGTCATCCAGATTCTGGACAACACGCCCGAAACTTTCATTTCGGAGTGAGTCCATTCTGGAAGCAATCTGCCTATTCAGATCGGCCATTTCACGTTTTTTGCCCAGATCTCCAGTCCTCTGAAACTGGCGTCTACGAACATTTCTCAACCGAATAAGTAATTGGGTGTGGGAATCAATAGCAACAAACTTACCCCTCACAGGAACTTGTCGAACGTATGCCTCGTCAGCCATGGATATGGCCTGTTGGAGCCCTTCCAACGTCCGGTCGATGTCATCTACGGTGTTGAGTAGTGGATTTTCATCGATGTTGCTGTCCACCATTCGTCCGTACAGCACCCAGTTGACATGGTGGTAGTCTTTACGCAGGCAGCTTCTAGCAGGAACCACATTGACACCGACTTCAGTCACCACCGGTTGGTGGTCGGAGCTGAGATCGTTGTGCGCCTCCGGCTTGGATAGTCCGATGTTTGACAGGAAAAAGTCCAGCGTGGAGGGATTTCCCGCCGGAGAGATGAAAGTTGGTTCGTCCGGAAATTGCACAGTGTACAGACCATGTTGTGCGTGGTCGAACAATAGACATCCGTTCCGGTTCCTCTGATAGTTCCTCCAAGCTTCATGGCGGGCGTTCAGGTCGCCTCCAACGATGAATCGGGAGCTAGTACAGGTGATGGCGGTCAGGTCCTTCTTGAATTGGATTCCTAATCCGTTGCTTGCGGTACACTGGCGTGGGCAGTAAACAGCGATGAACCGGATGTTTCCAGTTGGTGATTCCACCTCCACACTAATGGCCTCGATGATAGAAGTGCGGATGTGGGGCAGAGTGCAAAACTTGATTCCCTTTCTGACGATGACCGCTACACCACCCCCCCTGGAGCTGGTGCGATCAAGCCGGATAATGTTGTGGTCAGGCAACCAGAAGCTGTCACCGGACTTTAGGTGGGTCTCGGTTAGAAGAACCACGTCGATGCTATGCTTGCGGAGGAAGTCGGCAAGCTCAATCTGTTTTGCTCTTACAGAGCAAGCGTTCCAAGTAGCGATGGTTAGCGGTTTAGACGCCATACTGGATGATGAACTTACCGAGCACTTGGATCTGTTCGGGCTTATTGCGGCACTTACGTAGAGCACCGGTCATGTTGACGAAAATTTCCACCAGTTCATCCGCTGAAAACAGATCGGGGTTGTTGTTTTGCGCTGGTGGTTGTCTCCAGTATCCAGGGGGGGATGGAGAGCTTTGGCCAGCAGAATCACCAGAAGTTGCTTGAGCGGAATGCACCCGCGAATTTGCTTGCCTTTGCTGAGGAGCACGAAGAGGCGGGAAATCCTCCGTCCGAAATGCCGGGACTTTGTCCTTCTTGCGTCCTGGTTGGTTGTTAACTGCCGCCTGTTTTCGGATGCGTATGAAGTCCTCACGTTTGGAGCACTGTCTGTCGGAACCTTGGTGAGCACCACCACAGTTGGCGCATTTTAACGCCACGGCTTCATCCGCAGGGCAGTCGGAAGTGGCGTGGTCTTGAGCGCAATTGCCGCAGCGTGGCTTAATGTTACAGTTGCGGGTGCCGTGTCCAAAGTTCAGACACCGTTGGCACTGAGTCACATCGCGATGGCCGCCACGGTATGGCTCCCAGCGGACGATGATGCAATTAATGGAGCGGATGGCTTTCATCGCGTTGAGCGTCACCGTTCCCTTCTGGAAGTGTACCAGGAAAAGGCAATCCGGATACGCCTTCACATTCTCGTCTCTTCTTGTCATCCGATAGACGGCACTTGGGGCCAGCTTGTACCGGTCCCTGATTTCAGCTTCGATAAACTTCGGGTCGAAGTTTGGTAGGCCCCTGATGACGACCTTGAATGGTTTCTCACCGGGAATGTCGTGGGTGAAGAATTCCACCTTGGAAGTCCTCAGGTGGGCGACGACCAAGTCATACTCCGCTTTGGTACGGAGCACCACCTTGGTACCGACTCTGCCCAACTTGTATTCGGCTTTAACGCCCAGCGTCGCTAGATCCGCGATGAGCTCATTAAGATGAGCATTTTTTACCACCAATGGAGGTAGCTTCACTTTTGCCGCACTCGGGCCGGCAGAATTTTCGTTGTCGATGGTGTCGCCGAAATCACCGATGTCGCTGGCGTTTGTTGCTGTGACGTCATCACGTCCACTCGCACCATCGGACTGGCCTTGGTTTTTCTTCCTCTTCTTGGATCGCTTCACCGTGGCGGAGGTGGTATTTCCAACATCGGTGGGAAGAGTAGCGTACCTATTTGAAATAGGTACACTCGTGCTACACTCACCACTGATCTTTTCCGTTTTCTCACGGAGCCTGCTCCGGGAGCGCTGTCTTCCCATCACACGATGCGACCGACACTACTGACGACGCGAATAAACGTTTGGAATAACTATCGAACAACTCGACAGAGCGAGCCAATACCGGACTGTACTGCTTGACGAACAAGCAGAGAATGTTAATGGAGGGTGTTTCAACACTCCGAAGGGTATAAATAGCGGAACCTTTCAGTTAGAATCGATTCCGTGCGATGAAGGCAAGAATGACAACTGTATCAAAACCGAATACTTCATCATTTCTCAATAGTGATGGAGTAATACGACATTCACTAAACTAAGGATACGGGATATACTACAATAGATCAAATTACTGGTCGCAGTGGTGTTATGTCCCGAACAGAGGAAAAAAAAGGGGGTATTTTTTATTGTAAATGCACAAGGCAACTATAGAAAAATTATGTGAGTCTAAAGCAGACTAAAAATTTATTTAATTTATGGACTCAATCCTATCTTCTTTTATCACTCCTTTAATCTAATCAGGAGAAATTGCTGTGGATAAACATTATTTATTCGCATGCATCAGAATACGTTGAAGTTAATTCCCAACAGGGATCTATTCTCATGTGAAGCTTCCATCACTGTCTGGTCATATGTAAGAAACAACTCAAAGAACATCAAAGAACATAATTGAAAACATAAGGAACATGGTTTATTCTGCTTTTATTCCTTTATATGTACATATGTGTGAATGAACCGATAAGCTCAGTTGAATAAACTGGCTCACCGTACCCTTTGTTTCCTCTAACAACGCTCAAATAGCCATCGGCATTTCGTAAAAGTACACTTCCGCATACGTCTCCTGCAGTGCTTTCCGCATCTCTTGCGAATGGACCCAGTCACGTGTCTCGCAGATAACTTTGACCTACAACAAACAGAAAATACAAATTATTGCACCCGTTGCCTGGCTGTAGTCGTCGTCATCTGAAATGGTACACATGTTTCGAATAGAGAATGAGTAATGGGATGAATACGAGAGGAAAACCGCTCAATTTGCAGTGGGCCAACAAGGAGTGGACGCTTTTCGTTCTAAATTTAAAGCATGTCAAGGGGTATAAAATTAACAAACGATTCGTAGTTAGACACGTAATTTGAATGTGCCCTGGATGTTTGAGGTGAAAAAGTGAAAATATAGGTAAGAAGCAATTGTGAACTTTTTACCTGTTTTCGGAATGAATTTTATGTTGTAACCCATTTCACACTAAGTTGCAGACAAGGTTGCTTCGACACTTTTTGCCATTCAAATTTTTGTTCAGGATTTTGAAATCATTAGATGTTATGATGATATTTTGTACTTTTTAATTAAATAAAATTTGTGAATTTCGCTTTCAGCGAGTCACAATCAGCGATTTTATTTTATCACTCTGTGTGAACGCTCACGAGACATAAAAGCGCTGATTGTGGCTTTCTAAAAGCAGAATTGGCAGCTTTTATGTGTCAAACACATTCTTTACAACCTCTTCTTGTAACACAAGTACAAAATATTATTAAAGTATCAAATGATTTGATTATAACGAAAAACATTTTTATATCAAAGTGAGTGGAAGCCACCTTGCTTGAAAGTAACAAGAATAGGTTGTACCGTAGAACCCCGTTAGTTTGAATAGCTAAAATGGAAATTACACTTCACTTATTTAGAATTTGTTTAACTGGTACCGTCACGCCATTGGGCACTTATGTAGGGGTTCTACGGTAAAGTATGTTTTTGACACACTAAAAACCAGTCAAACTCGCTTTCTGAACGTCACAATCAGCAATTTTATGATTGGTTAATACTCATTATGAGTAAACGGAAAAAAAATTGACAATGATTTACAATTTTTCAAACGAAATGAGTCGAAGCAACCTTCGTTGCAGAGAAGTTTAATTCATATTTTCAACTTGTTGGTTTATGAACACCGTGTCACCTGTTGTACCGAATCGTCCATGCCTTGCAACTTTTTCAAGTCTTACCACATATTTTATGTTGCGCAATATTGTCCTGGTCACTTTCTGTCGCGCAACATGGCACCGTAAAACGGGGTGAACTTAATCCCGCCACGTCCAATGGCCCGGCGAGCCCCAGCAACCCTACCGCTACCACTTTGACTAACGCATACACGTCAACGCGACCACACCCTTGTGTTGGTCAGGATCGTCGATCGTATGAAAGTCAAGCGGTTGATGGGTAAAATATGTAAACAAGCGGGAACAATAGCTCAATCGACGAAGTAAAAGTAAAATTAATTCTACTCGCGAACGGTGTTACCTTAATCAACCTAATTTATACTATTAAACATAAAAACTATCAGTATCTAACGTGTCGATTGAGCTAGACTGCAGTATCTTGATTAACTTATACTACTTTGAACTTATCTAAGGTGTGAACTAGCAGGAAAATTATTGAACTTATAACTAAACATATCGATATATACATCTAATAGCTACCTACAGCTGTAGAAAACCTTAATTTATTACCATAATATCTTTGCTCTATGCAAATTAATTATTGCGGAGCGAATCACTAAAAGTAAGCGTAATGCAATCTTTATATTTGTGCACAAAATATAACATATTATCAGGAATTTGTAATTTTTTCGATTTCGATCAATCTGCCGTAATAAAATTCCCGGATTCAAAAGATTCGTTTCACCGCCAAACATCATCATTGAGGTGAAGTTGATCACTAAACCGTTCAATTTTCTTTTCTCAACAATCCTTTGCCATGAAATTGTTGTTAGATTATTTGTTTAGTATTTCATTTAATAGTTTAAAATAGTACGTTTGAAATGCTTCCCCTATCAAACGATGCATTCTGTCACTCTAAATACTCGAATGCTGGGAAACCAGGATCAAGAGGAAACCGAAACCAGGATGCCGCAGCGACCCGTAGAAAAGAACCCAGCGTGTTTAAGCGTAATCCTAACCTTTCCATCAGAGATGTTGGAAAGAAGCTGGGAAGATCGCACACAACAGCGCAAAGATGCAGGACTGTGATGATAAGCAAAACACCACGGCCAAAGCAAGAGCACGTAAGTTATACACGCCATTGTTGACCAAGTTTGATTGCGTCATAATGGACGATGAAACATACGTGAATGCGGATTTCAAGCAGCTCCCAGGTCAAGATTTTTACACGGCTCCCGGAAAAGGACAGGTTCAAGATAAGAAAAGCAGAACAAGTTGTCAAAGTTCCCGAAAAAATACTTGGTTTGGCAGGCGATTTGCACATGTGGGATGAAAATCGGAATATTCGTGACAACTGGCACGATTAACCAAGATATTTATGTAAGGGAATGTTTGCAAAAACGCCTGTTGCATTTTTAGAAAAAATCACAGTTATTCTGTGCTGTTTTGGCCAGACCTCGCATCCAAATTGACTACGTGAAAATGGCTCATGAACGGTATACCGCCAACAACGTGCCAGTCGTGTCCAATGACAAATACCCTCCAAACTCGCTGGAGCTGCGTCCAATTGAAAAATATTGGGCAATCGATAAGCGGAACCTCCAGAAAACTCAGAAAACAGTTGGAAATGAGAAACAGTTTAAAGCAAATTGGCATTCAGCATCAAATAAGGTTGATGCCTTGTCAGTCTTCCCCTCAATTTTATGTCTTGCGTGTTCTGGTAACATCCGTCGAAAACTCCACAGGTCCAGTTTTAACTTAGTACACTACATTTAATATGTAAAACGTTTGAAATTTAAAAAAAAATCCATTGAAAAACCGCTGAGGTACGGCAATTTGAAATTGGATTCGAGTTAACCCCAGGGTAAGACAACGTAAGTTTTTTTTTTTTTTTGCACAGACAAAGGACATAACTTCTTACGAAGGGTATTACTTCATGTTTCCTTTCGCTGCATGCAGTTTCGAAAGTGGAATTACAAACGAAAGTGTATGAGTGAATTCTGAATATGAGTTTGATGGCCCACAGTGCAATATTAATGTAGGTTGGATTCGTCGATGGTTCAGTTGCGTCACGTTTTTGTCCGGGACAAATTTTCGACCATTTTCCCATTAATTCCATTTGCATCTATCTATGTGAAACAAATCCCGTTATGAAATATGTTCCCCCAATTGTGTGCTACACTTACCTCAACAGAATTCACGTCTCGAATAAAGGCACGTTCATGCATTATATCTTTAATCGAAACGCCAAGATTGGCCAACAGGTTGCACAACTTTGACACCCCTCCAGGGCCATCGCTGACCCGAACGGTGAATCTACAAACGAGGCGACATTCGTTAATATGAAGCTCTGAAACCGCAATATCCTTTGTGTGGCTAAAATGGGAAAAGAAGAGAGCACCTACCTTTGCAATCGACCTTCTGCCGCCATACCACGCTCCAAGCATCGACCAAACATGGTAGTGTCAATGTTTCCACCGCATACCAGTAGGACAACTCTATTGAAGCAAATAGAAGAAATGACTTTAGCCGCAAACCGGAGAAACACTCCCGATAAAGAGAAAAATAATTGTTACCTCTTCCCTTTGAACTCATCCAAATGACCAGCGAGAATTGCGGCTAATCCCGAAGCCCCAGCACCTTCGACAACACATTTTTCCAACTCGACTAATCTCAAAATGGCCAGAGCAATCCACTCTTCCTTCACTACTATCATTTTGTCCAACAAGGGTATGGTCGTGGCAAATGCATTATAACCAACTTGCGGCACAGCCAAACCATCGGCTAACGTTGCATTGTTGGGAGTGTATATTGGTGCTTTGTTTTCCAATGCCTTTGTGAAACTGGGGCACTTTTCCGACTCCACACCCTGAAAATTACAATCATTGCGATTTTAGTCATTCGGACCGAGCTATGGTAAACTTACAATGATTTTGGTTTGCGGGCTCAAGCTCTTAATGGCGGTAGCAACTCCAGCGATGAGTCCGCCTCCACCAACCGGGACAACCACGGCGTCAATGTCGCTCACTTGCTCCACAATTTCCAATCCTATTGTGCCTTGACCTGCCATGATGTGCGGATGGTCGTACCCGTTGATGTACGTCAGTCCCGTTTCGTGAGCCATTCTGAGGGCAATCTTTTTTGCCTCACACATATCAACACCCTGCAACGGAAAACAATCTCAATGTTGGTGACATTCTCTAACCGTGCTCGAGATTGAAAGGAACTTTTTGGAATGTTCTGTTGTGAACAGTTTACAATGGTTCCAACCGTAATTAGACAAACTTGTTTCTTGAAACTTAATTTTAATCGTTGTCATTGCAATATGCAATCAAATTCAAGTGGTGTCTTTAACATTAAAGGTTATGAAGTTTATCAACAGTCTTGAGTGAATTTGATTTTCATGATTTCTTGACGCTCCGATTGCTTTGAACATTACCTCGACAAATAAAAGTATACGGCAAGACTTTCTCACTAATCATAAAGCATTAACTCCATCTAAATCTTGCTCAAAGGCTGAGAAGTATGAGAATACCGATTCATTTAATAAACACCTGGTGCCACATCTCAAGACAAAGGCATTAGCGCTGTAGCAAGAAACGGATTTTCTATAAGTAGGCCTAACTTTGTTAATGGATACAACGATTTCGATCCAATCTTTCTAAGCTGGCTGGTGATGTAATTCAGCAATTACTTACAACCGGCCGCTAATGAGTTTTAGCATTTATGATACCACGCCAAGATAATCTGTTTTTCTTTTGAGGTTCAATGATAAATCAGATCCTCCGAACGAGAAACAGTAATAAGCTAGTCATGTGGCACGTGATAAATCCGACGGGTTTGATTAATAATATATTGATTCATCGCATTGTGGGGCAAGAAGTTGTTGTATTTTTTTTATAGTTAGATATAGATATAGTTTGCTTGATAAATATTTGAATAATCATCATTATTACTGTTCAGATGTTAATGTTAATATCAGATGTGGAGCGACGTTCAACCGGCTAGAATAAGATTTTAAAAGAAGATTCTAAAAAAGATCTGCAGCTGTGGCAGGAGACTCAGATTTTCATCACAATCAACAATTTTAACGGATAGTTATACATCAACAAATGCCTGAAAAACGTGTATTTCCGTTCAATAAGTCCCAACGAGGCCTCGTTAAGTTTTGGCCAGATTTGGTGAGTTGCCACTACAGTAAGAATGCGCAACAGTGGTATCGCTATAATGGAATAGACGTCATTGAGAAAGGGATGAACTCCCCAAACTACCCGGATTCCCGTCAAATCGAAATGTTGGAAAAGTTCAGATACTTTAAAATAGCAGCCGGTGACTTTGACTAGCAGCTTGTGCAGAAGTTCATCGCACGTATCAAGCCCAAAGTCCGAATTTTCATTCGAGAGAAATAAAAATCACAAAATTTTATTTTTAAACTACAGCAAATGCACTAGTGAAAATTAATATATGGACACTTTGAAAAGAATGGCTACTTCCAATTTTAGGAATCAAAGGAATTATAAATCATGTACCTAAGAAAGAACAAATTGAATAATGTACGTAGGAGCAGGCATGGAAAATCATTTGCATTCATTTCGTGCATTCATTTACATTCATTTGCCCCTAACTTTTTTCATCAACAGAATTCTGCAAAATGGTGTATAGAGCTTTTGTAGGTTTTGTTATTAGCTACAACTTTTGTTAACAACTTAAATCCGTATTTCTTATGTATGACGAACCAGAGCGAACAGAAGCCACTACTGTTTTTCAGTGAATGTATTTTACATTCACTGAAAAACAGTGACAAGTTCGGCCCGCTCTAATTCGTGATGCATAAGAGATACAGATTTGAGTTATGGGCAAAAGCTAATAACAAAATCTACTAAAGCACTATACATCATTTTGCGGAATGCTGTAGATGAAAAAAGTTAGAGGCAAATGAATGTAAATGATTGCATGAAATGAATGTAAATGATTTTCCATGCCTGCGTAGGAGCAATAAATGGAAATTCCTAGGAAATAAATAAAAGGACGCCAAACAAAATTGTACCGCAAATTGATTATTGTAGAAACATTATTTAGCAGCTCAAAAATCACAAAAATCATTGGTTGATCATCAATGATCACATAAGAGATACATACGTTTATGCGTTTTCCGAGCTAGTTTCTGTGTATGCATGGCGATTAACTTCGAGTGTTCTATATTTTTTGTAAGATGGATCTCCATATAGCTTGGCTAAAGTCATGTTCAATGATTATTTAAACTAAGTTATTGGTTATTTAGGTGCCACAATAAGCTTAGACTTGTTTAAACATGATTCCAGATTGACTAATCCGCACTTGGGTTCTTTTCTAATCACGATTAAGCTTGTCTAAACTTATGATGGCACCAAAATAAGCAATAACCAAAAACAATTATTGAACTTATTTTTTCAATGTTTGGCGGTAATCCATCCGGTAGAAGTTATTGAATAATTGATTGTAATTGACATGGATACACAGAAGCTTACTCGAAAAACGCCTAAATGTACATAGCTCATATTTTATAATTGTTGATACACCAATGATTTTTCTTATTTTCGAGAACTTCTGGCATAAACTTGCCAGAAATTAAGTTTAATGATTATTTGAGCTAACTCTTTGATTATTTTGGTGCCAAAATATTTGCTGACATGCTATGTTTAAAAAATGATCAATTTCCCATACATTTTTGTATGGTGTCCTTATATTTATTTCCGAAGGAGAAAATCACATTTCTATTAATTTCTCCTACATACATTATGCAATTGATTGTTTCTTAAGCTTATATTGTATCATGATAAAGTTCACATGATCTAAAATTCCTCGATTCATAGATTTAGGAGGAGTTATGCATTTTAAGGTGTCCTTATATAAATTTCCACTAACTATCTACATAACATTTTCTTCTGATAACGTTTTATTCTAAACCAAACAGATGCTGAGATACATCCGATTGAATGCGTACCAATTCTAAATTGGCAGGGCTTTATGTAGAAATGGGTCCATAATTACCCCAAAGTAAATATATGAAAAGAACGGTAAATTTATGCCATCAACAATGACTTTTCTGAAGGGAAAATTTCTGGGGAATCGGTTGCGTTTATTCTCATACGCCACTGAGCGTTGGAAAAATGTGTCTTGGGCCATTTCACTCAATTTTTCCTTTATTATGGAAACTTTTTTCTCTCAGCTTTATTTTTCGTATACAGTAACACCTCCATATGTGCGGTGGGTGATAACGTGCACCCACCGCTATTTCTCAGCTGTTCTTAATCCAATTGAGCTGATTTTATGAAGATAACTAGTTTATGGTTGACACTAATCACATACATAAAATCAGGATGTCAGGAAGGACAACCGTGAAACAGCGGTGGGTGGACGGTACTACCAATCACATATATGGAGGGGTTACTGTAACATTAGTAATGTATGTATATTTCTTCTTCTTATTATTCTTTAGTTTTATTACGTCCCCAGTGGGACTTTACACCGGCCACCAACGTAGTGTTCTATGAGCACTTCCACAGTTGTTCATTGAGAGCATCGGAAATCAAACCCAGCCGCCTCCGGCACGGTCTTGCTTTATAGCTGCGCCTTTACCGACTGAGCTAAGGCAGACCTCGAAAAACGTATTGACTAGCTGAAGGAAGACGAGTGTCCTGGATTAGTTTACGCAGCCATGCTGGGACATTCACCATTTACTTTGAGCGCCGGTTTCTCCAAAAGTTCCCGAATGAACGACCAGTTGTTTTAATTTATGATGGAAATTCGTCCCACGCTTGTATTGAGCTGATTGAAACTGCAGTGCAGGAGCAAATTGTAATATTAAAACTCCAAACCTCCCACAAGTCATTTGCTTCAATTTATCGATTTTTCTGTTGTAAAACCCCTTAAGCAAAAGTATCATAAACGTGTGTTTGCTATATCTTACTGTAGGTGATCTATGCTCAACTTTCAGTAAAAAATACGCCCTTTCAGAAGTGCAAATGAGTTAAACCAAAATGATCTTCACTTTATTAGAGTTAAACCAAAATGATCTTCACGTTAATAAATTAAATTATTATATTTCAAATGCAACTAATAGGGGAAATGGCTCTTATGTTGGCCTATGGATCTAAGATTGGGCCCATCTCTAAAAATCTGTTATTTATCAATTTTATCTAGATGAACGCGTCATTGGGACGGTACTAATGGATATTTTTGGTCGCTATTGAAAATTTAGTCGATTGCTGAACTTATGTTTGGACCCAAATTAGGGGCATTTAGGCCGGCATTACATACATTCCATAAGTATTTTAAGTAAAAAATCGTTTATAACTTTTCAACAAAATGTGACTGCAACTAAGGTGTGCCATAAGAATTTAAAAAGTTCCTGGAACATATGTTTTACGAGAAATCAATGTATAGAAAGTTACTGTAGAAAAAAAGATTTTTCAGGGACCACCCTAAGTTACTCATAGTGAATCATTAGAGAAACAAATGCTTCCCTAAGCAAAGGTTTAGCTTTATTGATCTTATTTTGAACACGTCAGATGGGTTTGGTCCTAGCTAGAATCTGGCCAACTTTTTCAGGGGTACCCTGATCATGTTTGGATGTGACCACCCAAGTAACCACCATGCTCGTTATTAGCACTCTAATCGTCCTTTTTTGCAATATAAGGATGATATAGAGCTTTAAAACTCTATATTAGCCGTATATCAGCATTATATTGCAAAAAGGTCCATTAGCGGGCTTGTTGGTTACTTGGACAATGTGGTCCTGGGATTTGGCTGTCATTGACCATGTTTTTGAATTCTGATGAAATTGACTTAAATGAACTAAGATTCAAAATTAGCCTCAAGACTTGTACTCAATGGAAATCGTTCCGTCCAAATATTCAGAACTGATTGTACGATTCCAAAAATATAGAAAAGTGTTCAATGGCACCACAAGATTAATAATTTTGCTATTTTTTTTTCCGATTCGGTGCAGTGGTTGTAGAGAAACACGAATTACGAAATTATTTCGTCACAGACGCACATATATACATACACGTGGTTAAGAATCCCACGCCGTGCCAGGGGTACACGTGGGTATAACTTGGTTTACAGCCCAATAAAACAACACTACAGGCCAGGATTTTGAAGCTTTTGATCTACGTGCTATAACAAATAAAACACACACAGACATTATCCGATCTCGTCGAGCTGAGTCGATTGGTGACCATTATTAAAAAAAAACAACATCAACATTGACCGATGTAATAAACACTCACCTGAACTACGACGGTAGCATGGTAGTTGCGACATTTCTGTATTTTCATGAGAGACGCCTTGCACGGCATGACAACTGTCACAGGAATTCCCAGTTTCCAGCCGTGGTAACTAAGTCCCTAGAAATTAGAAAAAGTAGTTTATTTGTTATCTTTCGTTAAAACTTCTAGAGGGAGAATTTGTACGAAATATAAAAAAAGGCTAAAAACCAAATTCAATAATGATAAAATTCTCCAATCATATTCACAATTCAGTCTTATCGTGCCTTATTTTTATTCCTAGTATTTTAGTATTCCCAAGCAGCAACGTCAAAGAATACCTGACCGCACATAAATAAATTCGAATGATTACCGCTTGATGGTTATTGAATTAAGGGGGCATTATAATCGAATTATTCACATTTGTCTCGATTTAATGTTTCTGTTAGTGTATTGTAAAAATATAGAAACATCTCTTTATTGTTTTTCATCCTCAGCCATTCAGCACTTTCTGATACAATGTTGCATGCTCTTATGTTTAAACTTCGAACCCGTTTTTTAACGTTAAAGATTCCTATTTGGTTCAACCGATGTTCCAATATCTACTTCTGGGAAATTGATCGTGTTTTGCGGGTAGCAGATGTAAAGGAATCATTGGCTTTCCCATCAAATCAACCCCCCAGCAAAACAATGTTATTTATGAAGAAACATCATGCCACATCAGGCTGTCTTTCCTCCTCCCACACATACACAGATGTACCCTCTGCTAAGGGCTGTCAGAGTAAATACCGTACCTGAGCATGGTTACCAAGAGAAGCCGAAATAACTCCCTTCTTCTTCAGTTCGTCGGTCAGCATAAGTAGGGCATATCGGGCTCCGCGTTCTTTGAAGCTGCCGGTAAACTGAAGGAATTCCTTTTTCAGGTAAATGTCCATATCTATCATTTCCGAAAGGTGCGATCTCTGACAAATTGAAAAGAAAAAAGAATTTCAATAAAAACGTCAATTAGTGTTGATTAGTGCTTCATTTATCAAGACTCTCAAAGAGCCGTTAAAAAAAAAACCATCGATCGATGGATGGGGTGAGGATGGGAAAACTGTCAATGAGCTTTCTCTTCTTACCGGACACGGTGTGTACTCGATTCCTTTCTTTATTTTGAACGCCGCCGAAGTAACATCTTGAAAGGTAATTATCTGAGGATTATCAGCGTTGCAAAAAGGATCGACGAATTCTTGCTCTTGTTCAGCGGTGCCCCCATTACTCATCATTTCGGTGGAGTTTTTCTCCGCCTCTGGCTTGTTTTCCTTCTGCTTCTTCTCGGTGTGTGTTATCGTCGTGGCAGCCAGTTGGCTCGTGATGGCAGCCGTTTGACTCATGTTTCAGGCCAATCTGAAAATAATGTGAATTGGGATGAGTTGACAAATGACTTTTTCTAGTACTTGCTGACGACGATAAATGACGAATGGTTAGAGGACCGACAGCGATGTTAGAATTGGTACTGATTTTTCCTACCCACAATCCCGGCCATTATCACTTGTAGGGTTGAAGCTATCAGATTCTATCACATTTACTGCTACAAGTAATCAATTGAAGTAGGTAACATTGGAGATTAATAGCCAGGAATGTTTTCTCTCTATTAGCTGTGAGCAGAGAATTAAGTTGTTATTGGCTCTTGGGAATTTACGAGAGGAAGTGCTGATAAAAAGTGGATGGCAAACTTCAAGCAGTATTACCCTTACTCTTATTCTCTATGAAATTGATTTACATGAAACTGCACAGAAAAAATCTGAATATTACTGCTGATGTAAACATCTATGCATGCGCCCAACCGGAAAGATTCTTGAACAGATTTGCATGAAAAGTAGGCAGAATTTTCAATGTTTGACCGTATGAGCAGTTTCGGTAATGTGGTCGTCGGATGGTTTTTTAAATAAGTTTGAAATGTTTGTGTTAGCTATATTTTCCAACAAAGTTTCAAAAACTTGCTAGTAAGCTGACATTACATTTTTTTTCCTTTGGTTTGTTTTTTCCGTCGATCTTGTTTTCCGTGCTGAGCACCAATGCTACCGACGTGCCAGGAAGGCAGCTCCCAAACCTGGACCCTACCTATCGACCCAACAACTCATGAACCGGGGACCAACGGCTTTACTTCCCTTCCGAAGCAAAGCGTGATCAGAGATGTTAAGCCTCAGAACATCCCGGCGGCGCCCACTGGGATTGAACCCAGGACTGCTGGGGTGAGAGGTAATTACACTTACCACTACACCACCGGCGCCGTTCTGACATTACATTTGTTGTTAGAAAACATGCAGAAGAAGTAAGAAATCCACCCTTACATTTGAGGTTCATGCCTCATTTGTTTCGCGAGTCTAACTACAAATTTCTTATAACACGAAATACTAACTTGAAAGAAATATTGCTAACAAAGGTAGACGGTTGCAAACGACATTTGTAATATTTCATTAAATGTTTCATAAATTTACATGATTTTCAATGTAATATTGTATGATATATGGACCTCCATTTATGTGCATAATATTGAATAGAAATTTGTACTACACAGTTTCATAATATAGTGTAAGCTTCTGTTATATATGATGTACATAAATGGAGCGTCCATACATCATACGACTTTACATTATAGATCTTTTTTTCTTTTTGTTTTCCGTACTGAGTACCAATGCTACCGACGCCTGGGAGGCAGCTCCCACACTTGGTCCCTACCTATCGACCCATCAATTCATGAACCGGGGACTAACGGCTTTACTTCCGAAGGAAGGCGTGATCAGAGATTTTATGTCAAAGAAAATTCCGACGGCGCCAACCGCGATTGATCCCACGCCTTTTGGGATGAGAGGGAATTACGCTTAACACTACACCACCAGCGCCACTTTACATTATAGATCATTTAAAGTTAGGAGTCATTTAATTAAATAATCATCTTTGTTATCAACATTTCTAGCAAGTTGCTAGTATGCGTGAAAAGAAATACAAAATTTGCCCGCATGAGTATTTACATCATCACTAATATTCTGAAATTTCGACTGTGTACTTTTTATAACTGTATGGTGTCAAAATCGAAGTTAATCAATCCGATTCCGAACTAATATTTGGCAGTGCTTCCGTAAAATAAAAATCAAAATTTGAATGCGAATTCCGGTTGAACCTAACTTTACCAACCGTTCAACTTAAATTACGAAATTAAGATCGTAATTTATCAAAAATGTTGCTATCAATACTCACAAAGTTCGAAAAAGTAGTGTAAATTACTGTTTAATATGACGTACATAAATGGACTTCCAGTGGGCGCCGGTGGTGTAGTGGTAAGCGTGACTGCTTTCTAACACCCCAATGGGTCTGGGTTCAATCCCAGCCGAGGTCGGTGGGATTTTTCGGAGGCATAAAAATCTCTGGTCACGTCTTCCTTCGGAAGGGAAGTAAAGCCGTTGGTCCCGGCCCATGTGTGTTGAATGGGTGCGATATTAGACTGATGCAAAATTTCACTTTTTTGCTCCACAGTGCTTAAATGGTTTCAAATCGGGTCCTGATTAGCCTCCCAAAGCTACAACTCATTTGGTTAGAAACAGACTTCGCACAAGTCATTTGAAGTTTACATGTAAATTACTATGGGAAATCTCAACTTTCTGTTGATTGCCTTCTAGTCTTTTTCCATATTGAGCTACGAAACAGTTCGATAGCCATTCTTATAAACAATTTTCTCAGCTACAACTTTGCTGGAGATCGTTTCTATGTAAAACGAGACAGGAAAAAGTTATTAATTATTTAAGAGGTTGGTAAACTTATGACATGATCAAGCAGCTGCTCTGTAGGCAACACTGTATTTTGTAGTGTGACATAGTAGCCATTATTTTTGTGTCCTATTCAAAGCCCCAGAAACACCAATGTTGCCTGCTGAGCAGTTGATTGAGCATGATCATAAGACATCAGCGCATTGAACCATTGATAACTTTCGATCCTTGTATTTAACCAAAATGTGATCTTCAGAAAAGTTGTAGCTGGGAAAATTTCCTACAAGCACAGTTGAAAATTTTTGAAGCAGACTTATATGGTGAATTATTAGGTAGACATGAACAAAAATCTTGGTTTTACCATAGTAATTCCCATACAAATTTCAAATGGTTTGTGCCATCTCAGTTTCTCACCAAATGGGTTCAAATTTTGAGAGGTTAGTCAGGATCCGATTTGGAATCGTTTAAGTATTGTGGAGCGAAAATTTCAAAATTTGCATCACTCTAGTGCGATATCCTACGCAGGTGTGGAAGCTGCCTGCCTTGCACATTCGATTGCCTTTAATGGATGGCAATCGATGTCCGTCGGTGATTGGCACTAGATTGCGGAACAGGGACCGACGTTAAATAAAAAAAAAGACGCACATAAATGGAGCGTCATATAGGGTTAATGTCAAGCCTAAGTGTTCTAAGGAAAGCAATCAAAAATATTGATTTGTATAGAGTCCCTATGACGCATTGTTACAAGAAAAACTGAAGAACAGGATATTTTTATCGCTGAGCCAGTCTTAGATCCATAAGCCACCATTAGAGCCAATGCACTACAGATCATGTGAATTTACGATACTAAAATTCAATCTTTGTTGATAGTAGTTGATAGTTGATGTAGTGCTGATCTGTTTTTCAATATTTGTCCTACATCTATTCAACATCCAAACATGAACAAGGACTACCCACTATCAGTCTCGATGCAAGATCTATGAAGTCCAGAGGCCATCTTGGAATCAACTACCTTTCATCACTTTTTAAAAGAGAAAAAATTCTGTTACTTAGTATCATGGTACTATTTTAATTTATTGCAGATTTGCCCATCCTTTTCTTGAAAAGTTACGATCCATTACGAAAAATGCAATACAGTATTGCGATTGTGCAATAACATCATGAACTTATTGCGATGACCAGTGGCTCCGGTGGTGGAGTGGTAACCGTGATTGCCTCTCAGCCCAACAGGCCTGGGTTCAATCCCAGTCGGCGCCACCGGGATTTGTTAAGGTATACAATCTCTGATCACGGGAAGTAAAACCGTTGGTCCCCGGTCTATGAGTTGATGGTCTATAGGTAGGGTCCAGGTGTCTCATGCGTCGGTAGCATTGGTACTCAGTAAAAAAAAACTTACTGTGATGAATGCTAGCATTATGCTGAAGATAAACTACTTTGGCACGAGCACTAAATAAAAGTTCGGAAGTCTGACTTCCGTCTTCGGAACCTTCTTCCGATCTTTACGGAATTCATGATTGTTGTTGTTTTTTATTGTCGGGACTTTTAACAGCACTTTTTCAGTATCACCAGTCGCGTCGAAAGTCAATTCATCAGCGAATGCACAGAGGTGCATTATGCTATGTGTGTAGCATATAATTCCGCATTTATTTCCACTTGTTTTGAAGTAATATTTAACTAATAAAGTTTTTAATTCTAACACAATATTCCAAAGGATATTCTGATTGTTGTAACCAAACAGAAAAATCTATCCGTTTTTTATACAAAACATAAAATCCTTAAGCAATGTCTCACTGAGGCTGATCACGGTGCCAAATTATTGTGATTTTCAACGGTCGCACTAAGTTTGCCCCTTTAGAATTGATAAAACCATCCATACAAAATAGAAAAAAAACACCCAAATGATCTATAGATTCCCGGTGAAAATCCCTGATCCATAAAAAATATCAATATGATCCATATTTTATATAGTTTAATTTAACAACACTACTATAAAAATCTACTGCTTAATTTCTTAAAAATGACGAACGAGTATTGAAAATGATCCATAAACTTAAACTTACGAAATTGATCCCTAGAAAATCACGTTGGCACTAAAAATTATAGGTTTGATCCATAAATGAGACATATATTTGCTGTTTAGCAATTTGCTTTTTTCATTTTGATCTATAAATAAAAAAACAATGCACCAGTGCTGACTTGTTTAATGTTACATGCACCACTGGTGCATTATTTACTAATTAAATATAGTGGCAAAACATGGAAAATGTATATCTAATTTTTGGATCATTACTATATATTTTAGTGCGCCAACGTGACTTTTTAGGGATCAATTTCGTTAGTTTAAGATTCATTATTGGTCGATTTATGGATCGTTTGCAATAGGTTTTTGGGAAAGTTGCACGATTTAAATTTCTAATATATCACAAATTTACTGCAACGTTTTTATAATTGTGTTGTTAAATTGACATAAAATATGGATCATATTAATACTTTTTATGGATTTTCACCGTGGATTTATGGATCATTTAGGTATTTTCCTAATTTATATTGATCATTTGTATATGCAAAAGTATGTTTGCCGATTTTCAACACCATTACACTTTTGTTTCAGCTGAACCACTGATGCGGCAAACTAATCAGTTTCATCGTAATCCATCTGGTAT